TCCCTTCCCTGTATTATATTCTTTCCTTTCTCCTGACCCCTCCCTTTGCCAGTTTCACTTCACTTGACCCCTGACCTGTCAGCTCCACCCAGTCAACGGTAGGGTCCTCTGTGTCAAACGCCGCCTGTGAAAACACTGTGCAGATAAGCTGAAGAGAGAGCTGGGCGAAACAGGAGGCATCATTCAGATGTGGCAAAGTGCAGCAGGACCCGGAGACCCAGCAAACCCTCCTCTAATGTGGACAACACAATGAGATAAGCCTAGTGAAGTATCAGCGCTGTGGCAAAACTGATTCAATGTTGAGAAAACATTGCACTGAGATAAAATGAACAAAGTACCACACATTATTACTGTGTTTATTTCCAAGCCTCAGATAACAAGATGCTGCTGGCTGGAAGATAAGCTGGTGCAAGGAGTCAGGCAAACATATAGCTCCAGGCCTGTATGCATAAAACACAGAGTACAGTAGAGTGCAACAAGAGGAGCTCTGGGCCAGTCGCATGACACTATACACTTCATTACAGACTTTAATCAACGCTTTCAGTTTCAGCTTACTGTTTTTCTTACCACAGAATTTCACCAAAATGGGATGTGGAAATGTTTCATCTATTGGTCTTTAGTTTCCCCCTAATTTCACAAAGGACAACCATAAATGACACTCTGTGCTGTGTGTCCTATGTAGTGTTGAAACTACGATTATTTTTTTTGCGGACAAATTAGTAGCCGCAGCTGGAACGTTTGATTGTGTCACACCTTCCTCAGCAGATGGAGTTTGCCCAGCTGCGATGGTGCAAATTAGATGTAGATGTTCAAGTTTCCATTCCTCTGAGCACCCTCCATCCTCATCTCAAGGATATGTTTTCTATTATTGATCAACAATTTGATTAATTTCCCAAGTAATTGATAAAAAATGTAGTCAAGAAAATTGTGAAGAATGCTTATCACAAATTCCAACAGCCCAAGGTAATGTCTTCAAACTGCCTGTTTTGTTTGACCAATAGTCCAAGGTCCAAAATATTCTATTTACAATGAAATATTAATGAGAAAAGAAGCAAATATTTACATTTAAGAATCTGGAATCAGTGAATCGTTGCAGCTTTTGCTTAATAAATTACTTAAATGGATTAAATTAATGGATAAAAAATGTTCTTAATGAATTTTGAATTGATCTTCTGCTATTGTTTCAGCACTAGTAATGTGTCACACACACATCATTTGTTGATGCAGTGTAGTATTTCTTTCATTTGTACTGTACAGTACTGTGTTGCAACAGTTTCCTATTTCAGATATCTGATTGAAGCTGAATTATCATTCTCCTCATTTTGTTCAGAATTGCCAGCCAAACTTCTCTGCTGGATTTCTATTGAAATAAAAAAAATATCCCTCCAAGGTTGTACTGGCAAAAGAACTATTATCACTTTTGAAATGAGCAAACAGAATGAGTCATGTGTCACTTTTTTCAGATTTACAAGCCCAACACCGCTCCCTGCTATCCCCTTTAAAAAGGCAAAAAAATGTCCAACTCTTTCATTCTGAATAAGGAGACTCCAACAGGTTTCTGTCACTAGGATGAAAAACCAAAGCTCAGGCACTCACCGCTCTCAAATAGAGAGCCTTTTAAATCCTCTGACAATGAGCAAGACAGATAAGGAGAGAGAGAGGGGAGGGAGAGAAAGGGAGACACACACAAACAGAGGGAGAGAGAGATAGAAAAGTGTAAAATGGAGAGGATAACGAATGAGTGCGCCGCTGAGAGGGAGCCTTAATGATGTCAATGTGATAAGTCTAAAACGAGGTGAAAATTGAAATGAGTGCTGCCATGGCGGTGGTCGGTGGGGAGAGTGAATAGGAGTTGCGCTGCCACCTCCACTGCATTCATTCGCTCTGATTAGCTGGGGGAGAAAATACAGAAGAGGTGGGAAAGATGTATGAAGGAGGAAGGAGGAGGCGGAGGAGGAGATCTGTAAACGGAAAAGGCAAAATGAAAAAACAGGTGACGAGGAGGGGACAAAGGGAGAACCAGCTAGAGATGGACAGTCGGTAAAAATAAAGAAAGCCAATAGATGTAAGAAAAAAAGAAAGAATGAAAGACAGAAAGAAAGAAAGAAAGAAAGAAATGAAAGAAAGAGCATGGGTGAGACAAAGACAGACTGGGAGCTAAGTTCAAGCCAAAGTCAATTGTACAACTAATGTGAATCGATTTGTTGCCTCTGCTTTTGCTCTTTCGGGAGAGAGTGACATTTTAAAGGCATATTTTATTATTGGGAGGAGGTGGGGCTGTTTGCCTGGCAACTGAACACACTGACAGCCTGCTGACAGCTGTACGGAACACACTGAATAGAAGAAATACTGCAAATGGCCTGTGTGTGCTCGGGGATCCATTGTGTGTCTGCAGAAGTGTGTGTAATCTGTCAGATAACATGGAAGTGTGTGGGAGTGCACACTTGCTTCTGTCTGTTGGTCTGTGTACATTCTTGCATAAGTAGTATAGTTTCTCTGTGTTTACCTACATGATAAATACTGCACATGGCCTGCGTTTTACTAGATGCATTGCGTCATTGGTAGGCATGTTGTGTGTGTGTGTGTGTGTGTGTGCATGTACAACGGTCATATTTTATTAGGTAGGTGAGCACACTTGTCTCCATATGTCCAACTGTGGGTTTCCTGCTTCCTACACGTGTGTGCTCATACATGTGTGTTTGTGTACAGGCATGTATTTGTGTGAGCATGTTCTGGGAGAATAATTCATGGCAGTGAGTGACTGAAATGCGGCGGCCGTCCACAGGCAGCCTGGAGTTCTGCCAGTATGGAGGGCCAGCATTAATAATTAAAAACACTTTTACAGGGAGGATCTCTGCAGCGTCTGTTGTCGGCGTCTCTCTTCAAGGGCACATTCAGGACAATCACACAGAGAAAAAGTTTGGAAACAGTGCCCAGAAAAAAATCTCATAGATAGTAGTGTGATACAGAGAGGTCACCAGTAGGCAACATTTTTAGTTTCTCTCCACAGCTGTCTGGCTAACTGGATAATACAACGACTTTATTTTGTCTTTGTAATTGATTCAAGGTGTTTAGTCTGTTCTTTCCCACCAAGCATATGATCATTTTTTTTTGTTCTGGACAATGAAAAGTCAAAGAGGCGTCTCAGGAATTCACTTAGTCGCAAGGACCTACATCCAAAAGCAGGGCGCCAAAATAAATAATTGAATCCGAGTAGTCTTAGCAGATCTCGGCAGACCTCAGCTCTCAGCAGTCTTTGGTCAGAATCCAGTGGGAAGTACTAAACTGCTTTTCATGGTATATGTAATCCTGTGGAAATTCTTCCAAAGAGCATGCTGTGCTGAGGAGCGGATGAAAACAAACAAACCAACATAGCTGTTCACCAGCGTGGCCACGTTCCAGCCCAAAGGAGTCATCCTTAAGCCCAAATGGCTGGCCAAGTATCTGCACTGGGCCAATCCACGGTTTATTGGAAACGCTAATGACTAGCAAGGGAAATCAGCTTTTGCATATTACAAATTCCAAACCACACACATTATCGCACATTGTGGACACTTGCACTTCAGTTTTTTGTTGATGTGCAGCTAATCAAAAATTAGGACATTTTCTCCACAAAGTCGTAAGCAAACATCTTTTCAAAGGTGTCTTGCTTCTGTAATCCAACATACTTCCATCTGATGTTGGGGCACATAATATAGAGGTTCCTACAAGTAGCTATTCAGTACATAAAAGTGACTCAGGGCTTTACACATAATCTATCCTAACCCCTATCCCTATCTGAGATGACCGACCAAGCCATATTAACCTTGCACAAGCACTCACTCTAATATATCAATATTCATGTCAACTCATGACATTACTACCATGACCAAACTGATAAAGTCACGATGGGGGGTCTAATCGCCAAAGACCCTTCACATATCTAATTTTATTGTACACCAATACACATATTTGATCACTCTACAACAGCCTCTCTCCTGATTGAACTGTAGCTAGACTTCTTTGCATTCTAATTAGACTAGCTGCCAAAAAGGGAGCTCTTAGCTTCGGTACAGGCAGGAACCGAAGCTAAGAGGTCATTACTGCCACTCACATGAGATTATCATTAGCCGATCATCAGGGATGCAAGCTTATCTCTTTGATCAGGGCCAACTATGCATCTACAGTATCCATTCAATCCCAAAACAGAACGTTATATTTAACACATCCAGCTACATATACACTTATTTGCTACTGCTGTTGCTGTGTGCAATTGCTGCTGCTAACTGTGCTTACTCTCCAGTGGCTGCTACCAAAAGCTGAAACACACTGCCCACCATCCAAGCATTTGGTCACGCTGTATGTAACTGAGTTTAAAGCAAATCCTACATTATAAAGTGTCCTAAATTAGCCTGAGGTATTTACCATTTAAACTCTTTTCTTTGCACAAATTGAAGAAAATGGCAGGATTACATTTCACTGTGATTGTGCCCTATATGACTACATGCAGAGCTGGCCCTAGACCTTCGGGGGCCCTAATCAAAATTTAGTTGGAGGCGCGGCCACTATATATGACTATATTCTTAAACCTGCCATGTTTGTATAGCACAAAAACACCAAAGCAAATTTCTTAAACCTACTTGCCAATAAAGGTGATTCTGATTAAAAACAATAACTGGACTATACTCTTTATTATTATATTTACTATGTTTGATGTCAAACAGGATACATATCATACCACCAGTGCCACTGAGTGTAATTGCAGTGCGAGGCCCGGTAGACACTGATGAACTTAGTTCTGAATAAAAAGACTAATAAACTGATTATGACTGAACCAAAGCTCAAATCATTAATAACAGCCAAAGAATTTAAGAGACAAAAACTACAAAAAGTTGGTAGCATCCTTTTTCTCGACCAGCTTCGTTACGAGTGATCTAAACATGTAATGACAGAAAAGACTTGTTTGAGTGTCTTTTTGGAAAAAAATGTCTCTGTCAACCTGTGTTGGTTTTACTGCTCACCCCATCAACGGGTAACTGATGGCCAGTCAGCTGGAACCACTGGCGGAGTAGAAACTGGAGAGCCAGGTGTGGTAGTAAGCACGATTGTACTGCTCTCCACTTCATTAGGCACAGGTAGACCTATGAGGGAGATTAACACATAAAATATGTAATCTTAGTAAGTTGACATGTTCATACGTTGGGTGTTCCTAGAGGTGAATAACTGTTAATTTATTGTTGATGTAGAACTAAACTTACCAGCAGTGTCAGCTTCTTGAATGATACCAATGATGGAGGTAGAGGCGGTGGTTAATGGACCTGCTATGAAATAATAAATATTAAATAAATGGATTGAAATGACTTGTGTTCTTTGTTTATATCTGGAGGATCTTATGATGCAGGATAATTGTTGGAGAGAGACAGTTTGATGCTGTCTCCTTTTAAAAAGTAACTTTACATAAAATGTCTTCTCAACACTGGCAGCTTTGGAGGAGGCACCATGACGCTGCTCAATAATCAGTCCTTTAAAACAGCTACTACTCCTTACCTGACAGATTTGATTTATAATTATTTACATTTACTCAATTGGCAGACGCTTTTATCTAAAGCGACTTACATTTATTAACAGTCATACAATACAATCATTAACAGAGCATCAAATACAGCACGCGATCCACAACAGACAATACATATTAATAAAAGCAGCAATAAATACTAGTAAGTGCTAATGGCACATATCACATCGAGTTAACAAAAAGTGCAATCAATACAAGATAATTATAGGGGATAGAAGAAGAAGAGCACAGGAAGAGCATGTTAGAGGTTAGGAGTTAGAGGTGTTATAAGAGGAAGTGTTCTCGGAAGAGATGAGTTTTCAAGAGCTTCTTGAAGTTAGAGAGGGACGCCCCTGCTCTGATGGTGTGCGGTAGCTCGTTCCACCATCGTGGTGTTACAGATGCAAACAGCCAGGACTGGGATTGCTTTGTGTGAAGGGATGGCAGAGCCAGGCGGCATTCATTGGAGGAGCGTAGCGGACGAGAAGGAACGTAAGTTTGTATTATGGAGTTTAGGTAGATGGTTGCAGACCCAGTACTCACTCTGTATTCAAGCATTAGTGACTTGAATTTGATTCTGGAGGCCATGGGAAGCCAGTGGAGGTCACTGAGTAATGGAGTGACAGGAGTCCTTTTGGGCTGATCAAAAACCAGATGCACTGCCGCGTTCTGAACTATTTGTAAGGGTTTCACCAAGAAGAAGAAGTGTAAGAACCACTAGGAGGGCATTGCAATAGTGGAGGCGAGAGGCCCTGATCAAGAAGCTGGGTGGCATATTGAGTGAGGTAGGGCCTGATTTTTCTGATGTTGTATAGAGCAAAGCGGCACGTGACATGACCGTGTTCAAACCTGGCCCATCTGTTATGGTATAACGTTAATACTAATAATATACCAATTTTATGCAGTTTGTAAAAGTTGTGATGCTAATCGCGGTTAGCATGTTAGCAAGTATAGCGTTAGGATTGTTAACAGTGCGGCTAACTAAGGCAAATGTAAAACCTTTAGTTCAAATTATCTTAAAATACAGGCGTAGGAAAATGGAGCCTGTGGGCTTACGTACATTTATCCTCTTCGAGTCTCTTCTGTTGTCTTTTTACATGTCCTGACAAATAAGATCTTCTCTTGTCAGACATCAAGCCTGACTGACCAACATAACGAGTGACGTCACAGGGTCAGCAAGGGCGAGCTGACCAATGAGAGCAGCTGATTTCCCACAGTATACAACTAAATTAAATAACCACATGCTTATTATGATGCGTAATATAGAGAGCTGTCTTTTTATTTTAATTTTATTATTTTACTAGCACGCAGAGAGTGTAGGGCGCCCTCTGCAGGCCACAGGGCCCTATGCCACCGCAGAGGTCGCTTAGTGGCAGAGCTCTGACTACATGCAACAAATAATCAGTTTGATCGAAGTATTGCAAACCCACACCAGCAAACATGGATTTTAGGGCCTTCAGGCGTTCTGCCCCCAACCTTTGGAAACCTCTCTCACAAGACATGTTCACTTTCTCTCACTACCTTCCAATCCAGTCTTAAAACACACTGCTCAGAAAAGTAGGCTATAGGTTTTTGATTTGACAAAATAAAATGATTTGAATGGAGGGATAACACCAAGGTGAATTGTATTTGCCATAATTATCAAAAAAAACCCGATTTAGATGGAGATTATGCATGCAATGTTTCTACTAGGACACCATGCTCCTGCTTCCTCCTTTTCTTCTTTCACCTCCACCCTTCACTAACCAACTCTTCTGCTTGACATCCTTCTGATGTATATAAGGATAAGAAAGAAGAGTGGCTAGATGAGTTTAAGGTCGTATTGACTTACTGTTATTGACACATCACTAAACTGAGTTAAAACTGCCTTGGTACATCTTGGAAACTCTGTCAGGGCCCTTAGTTGCATGTGTGTGTTCAGTCACAGGCACAGATGTTTGTCAAATGTGAATCTTGGGAAAAGACAAAAAAAAAAAACATGCCAACATGTCAGTGCTCAGAGGGGTGTGATAGAAAGGCTGAAAATGAATCCCTTTTGCACACACACACACGTGCACACACATACGCTCACATCCATTACCCGCCACCCCTTCCTCCCTCCCCCCATTCTCGTGGGTGTCGGAGTGAGAAATTAAATTTTTCTGATGAGAAAGTTTTTCCTGCCCCCATTCCTCTCCTCCCTCTCTCTCCTCCCATCCATTCTTTAATTTATTCGCTTATTTATGAACTATTAATTTATGCACTGAGAGAGAAATTAACAGTTGTGCAGTCAAGTGTTCGGGCTGCTGCCACGCTCACAATAGATGATCATCACCAAGGGACTGGCATGAGTCACACACACACACACACACTGACACATACAGAAACACATGACACCATACACTCACCCAAAGGGAAGCAAGACAGGTGCTGCATATCAATTGGTGCGAAAATAACTGTCCATCAGTTCTGCGTAGGAAACAGCAAACTTCCATTTGGTTTTAATTGTTACATCTAAGCATGAGTACTCCCAACCATTGTTCTGACAGCGTCAGAACAGGAGGTGTGTAAAAGTTTTAATGTGGGGAAAATTAATTGAATAAACTGTTTCTTCTACACCGTTCTATTACAATCTGCAGATAATGTGTTCACTATCACACTTAAAGCAGAGTAGTGCAAAAAAAAAAGCTCTGCCAAGACATCGTAGGTAAATAAAGACCAAGGAAACAGAGTAAAACTCAGCTTTTTCAAATTTGCTAAATCCTTTTTAGTGCCATGAAAAGTATTTTCTGAAGCTATAAAAATATTTCTTTAGTTGCACAGAATTAATTTTAGAAATGGTCTAATAAGTCTGATAATTTTAGACTAGTCAGTCCTACAGTAAAACTGTGTGTGACTACAGGAATGTTGAGGAAACATTGAAGGGAAAGTGAAAAATCCTATAAGGGCTACACTTGGTGTGTAGCGAGCAAATGCCTCTACTCTAACTCCACTATAACATATTGAGTCTTATAGGAATATGAAAAGGCCACGTCTTTCACAGCTACAGCACCGCTATCCATCCCTTCGCGCTCCAGTCTACGCCCACATGCTTCAATTCAAGTTCCCACGCCCACGCTATCCCAGCATGCTACATGTTTATTCAGTCAGTCATTCAGACGGTCAGTCAGTAATTCAGTCAGTCAATTATGTGAGCCAGTCCATCAGGCAGTCAGCGTGGGCAGGAATAAAACTGACACGCAGACAGGTCGGTCAGCCCCGTGGGGGCAGCGGAACACGACATGACCCATGCCGCCTCATTAGTAGGTTAACTGGCACGTGTGGGCTGCCAATGACTGTGTTTATGTGTGGGAAGGTAGAGTGGACGGGCGGAGCTGCAAGTGAGTGACAGCCGCGTGGGCGGTGGGCTGTGTTTCGGTGGCCGAAGCGCACCCCAGGGAAGGTGACAGTGTGTGTTTAAGTGTGTGTGTCTGTGTGAAATTGAGTGTGTAGCAATGCGGTCAGCTGCAGTGGCATCCACAAGGTTCTCGGTGGGAAAACACCCGTGGGTGGACAGGCTGTTTGTTGTACTCTGTATCCATTTAGCTTGGACAAGCAGACCGCACAATGCACCAAAATGACCACAAGGACTGAGCGCCGACCCCCCTGAGACACGCCTGGACCTGAGGTGTGTTTCAGTTGGGGTACATTTCAGTTTAATTTTGAAGCCTGTGTTGGTTAAAATTGTAATGAAAAACAGTCCTCAGAAATGCAATCTTCCCAAATTATTACCAGTTTCGGCCTTCCATCGGATTTGGCTTTGCACAAAGTTTTTCCCCTTGGCTTCTAATGTGGGATCTTTTCTGAAAGACTGAATTTCTCGTCACTGGGCTGACAGTACTAAGATTTCACACCTTAGAGGAGTAGAGAGTGAGAGATATTAGCTAAATGTTTCATCTAATCGAGACTAGTGTTGCAGTACTGTTGTAGACTGGTCTTAAGACCACTTTTTGATGGTCTTGGTCTCGTCTCGGTCTCGGACATTGAGGACTCAGGATTTTATTTCAAGTCCAGTCAAGACCATAACTTTGGGAATATCAATAAATTGCTTTTGCATTGTCTGATTTGTTTGTTAACATCCAAACTTTGATTGGATGTAAAACGTATTGCTTCAAATGCAACCAATAACCCTAATTAAAAATGCGTTGTTCCTGTTAACGACTGTCACCCGTCCCTGCGATGCTTATGTTGATTTCAGCTCTTAGTGTTTGTGTGTGTTTTAATAGGAATGTGGATCTTTCAAATCAATTTGAAAAGTACCTATGATCTCGTTCCACATTTTATTCTGTGTCATGTAATGTGGAGAACTGGTCTTGGTCTCGACTTGGTTTCTGTTTGGGCGGTCTTGACTACAACACTAATCGAGACATATGTGATTTTTGCCTGACAGATGCTATATTGCACCGAGCATTTAAATCAGCATCACTTTTACAATAACACTGACAGGGTGTTGCTATTCATCTGCCTCACTGTCGCTCGACCTTGAGTTTGTTTTGAAGAGCAAAAAGAAGGATAAAAGGTGATAACGGCCCTGCAGCCTTTAATAGTGAATATACATTCTGAGGTTAAGTCACTGTGCAGCTTGAGATGTGCAGGTGTAACAGTGGAAGCAGAATAAAATTTGAAGTCATTTGAAATTACAGTAAAAGAGTTCCTGATGTGCCTTAAAGCAGTCTTACACCTTAAATCTCAATGACTGATGTTAAAGTGTTATTCTGTACTTTTGAACAGCCTGAAAAGTGGACATAT